CTGTAAATGTTCATTAAAACTAATAAAATTTAATAAAAATAAAAAAAGAAAGAGTAGATGGACAGCAAAGGAGAGAAAGACCTGGATGAAATGGATTGACTCAGTAACTGGGGTAATGGGGATAGGTGTGTCAGAGTCGATGAGACTGGCTCAAGTAAGGGCAGGTTTCAGAGTTATTTTACATGGGGTCACTATGATTTGAAGGCGACTTGATGGCACAGAACAACAACCACCTGACCTAAACAGACAGGGCCAGTCTTGGTATAACATTATTTTTTTTATCCCATCTTTTGTCCTTCTCAGGAGGATTGGTTCCCCCTTGCACTGTAGTGAGGAATCTTTGAAGGGGTTAAGCTGAGGTGGACCAGATGAAAATACACTTTAACTCTTGAGGTTCTGGACAATTTTCTCTGTCACTGGTGGAGACTCCATTTGCCTTTCTGTTTCACTATATTATGGAACATAAACTCTTATTACTCAAACTGATGCTTTTTCTTTTTTCTTGGTTTTGCCCCCTCTGGTCCACTCCTTTTCCCTTTGTTCCATTTCTTCATGACACAACTTTTACCTTTTAATTTCTTTTTTATTCTGTATCCACTAGTTTCCTACAAGATCTCTCTGGTGCAATGGAAAGGATGTCAGAAGAGGTCACGTGTCCCATTTGCTCTAACCTCATGGTGGAGCCCGTGAGTACTGAATGTGGCCACAACTTCTGCAAAGAATGCATCTTTCAGGTTGGAAGAGATAGGGACAGTGCCTGCCCTGTGTGCCAGCGCCCATTTCTCCTCAGTAATCTCCAGCCTAATGAGGAGCTAGCCAGTAAGGTGGACAACCTCACACAGAAGGGCCAGAGCACCAAGCAAGGCCTACAGAGACATCGTTGTACGTTCTGTGAGGAATTTTGGAACCGTCTTCGCCGGGTGTGTGACCAATGCCCAAAATGCTGTTTCCCTTGCATGGGCCCTACAGATAAAGATGCTCCGAATTACGAGGTGAGTCCTTAGCACCAGAGCCAGTAAGGAGATGTGCCTGATCAGTGCTTTGTTCCCACAGCTTGGGATGAGAGAAATAGCCTCTGAATTTGAAAGACTGGGGGAAAGAATGATGTCTAATCAAGTGTACAATCAAAACTGAATGTGGTCTTGGAAAGCTGTGGAGAATTCTGACAGGGGAGCCCTTTCAGCCAGCCGACTCCTCTACTCAACTATAATTGTAACAAAGCCCTATGGCTTCAGATGTGGCAACATTTGAAAGCTTCTTAATTTAGGTCATTGTTATTATAGTTAGGTGTTGCACAGAGGAATACAAACCACAGTGACCCTATGAACAACAGATCTGAACCCTGTCATATCTTATCTCATCCTCACACTTCCTGACTCATCTGAACCCATTGCAGCCATCACCGTGTCAATCCACTTGGTTGGTGGATTTACTGGTGTCATTCCATTTAGTTCACAGGGATAACAAATTTTGCTTAGCGTTGTACATGTAGAATGTGCTCCTTCCAAGCCTATTCCATATATGCTGTGAAGCTCTGGTCAGAGGTCTGAGGGTACAAAAGTATTTTGTTCTAAGGTACATGTGCCCCTGACCCCAGTAGGACCCCTGTTATGCTGAACTTGAATTTGGGTACTGAGACCTGGATTGACTGTGATAATATCCATGAGAGGCAAACAAGAGTGCGAAACATGATGGGAGCACATTTAAGTAGAGCTATACTTAGGCTTTCCTAAGAACCAGTATGACTGTGCATTGCTCAATACTAGTCATTCTACTTCTTACCCTGGTTGG